AGCCAGTCACTTCAAGGATACCATCCATCCATCTTGCCCTTGGTCGGCCCCTCTTCCTTTTTCCTTCCATTTTCCCCAGCATCATTGTCTTCTCTAAGTTTTCCTGTCTTCTCATGATGTGGCCAAAGTACTTCATCTTTGCCTCTACTATCCTTCCCTCCAATGAGCAGTTGGGCTTTATTTCCTGGAGTATGGACTGGTTTGATCTTCTTGCAGTCTAAGGCACTCTCAGAATTTTCCTTCAATACCACAATTCAAAAGCATCTCACTTCTTTTGCTCAGCCTTCCTTACGGTCCAACTCTCGCATCCATGGGTTACTATGGGGAATACCATTGCTTTTACTATGCAGATCTTCATTGCCAGCGTGATGTCTCTACTCCACTATTTTATTGAGATTGGTTATTGCATCTAAGTAAACATCTTCCGATTTCCTGGCTGCCCACTCTGCCTGCAGTAATATTTGCACCTAGAAATACAAAGTCTGTCATGGCTTCCACGTTTTCTCTCTCTATTTGCCAGTTATCGATCAGTCCGGTTGCCATAATCTTGGTTTTTTAAATGTTTATTTGCAACCCAGCTTTTGCGCTTTCATCTCTCACCTTGGTTAGAAGGCTCCTCAGCTCCTCCTCGCTTTCAGCCATCAAAGTGGTATCATCTGCATATCTAAGGTTGTTAATGTTCCTTCCAGTCATTTTATCTCCAGCCTTGGATTTGTCAAGCCCTGAACATCGCATGATGTGTTCTGCATACAAGTTGAATAGGTCGGATGAGAGTATATAACCCTGCCGTATGCCTTTCCCAGTCTTGAACCAGTCTGTTGTTCCGTGGTCTGTTCTTACTGTTGTTACTTGGTCGTTATACAGATTCCTCAGGAGACAGACAAGGTGGATTGGGATCCTCATACTACTATGTTACTCTGGGTTCTTTTATGGTCTCCGGTTACTCCTGCCATCATCCCATTCATAACTCTTGAGTCTTTTTGTCCAAAGCAAAATTACCATGATGATATAGTTGATAAATTGTGTCCACAGGTACAGTGAAGGATGTGGGTTTGGTGTGTACTTTTTTTTAAAGCTGCCAACATTCAATCCAAAATCCCTCTCCATGGTTTGCCTTGCGACACATGCCTGGTAGGGGGCAGCAACAGACAAAACATTTCTACAGTAGTCTATGCCAGCCATCTAGGCTAAGGTTTCCTTGCAGAATATGATTTCATCCTCAAGAAGACAAAATGGAGTTTGCCCTGCATCAGCTTCAGGGGAGGAAAACCTGACCATGAATGGGGAATTACTCAAGTGTGCAAAATGCAGCGTTTGCAGTCTCCTTGTGCCTCCTGGACAACTAAAATGCTCTTTGGGTGTTAGCTAAGGTTATTGGTTCTGCTATTTGTGGGTCTAATTTTACCCATGGCAATGCTTGTGTTAATTCTGCTTGAACTGTTCTCAGGATTTGATTTCAACTAAGGGTCTCGCCTATCTTTCGAGAGCAGTCAAGTAATCATGTGCTTTTTAAAAAACTTAGCATCTTAAATTTAAAGCATGTGCATGAAAAAAAAAATTTCAGACATAAAGAAAAACGTTGGGCTTTTTTATTATGCATAGAGCACAGTGGTTTGAGCGTTGGACTAAAATTCTGGAAATCAGGGTTTGAATCCCCACTTGACTATAAAACCCATTAGATGCTCTTGGGCAGGTCTCTCTCTCTCAATTCTAATAGATTGAAGGGGTTTTTAAAACAACAACAAACTTAAATTGATAGATTGAACAAAAAGTACTCCTGCTTTTAGCCACCTCCTAGAACAGAGTTGGAAGAGGCCTCATAGGCCATTCAGTCCAACCCCCTGCCAATAAGCAGGACAATTGTGTTCAAAGCACTCCCAATAGATGGCCATCCAGCCATCCTGGTCAGGTTTCTAGGATTGTGTTTATTTATTGCATTAACAGGGAACTATAAATGACTGAACAAACCTACCCACTGATTCCATAGGATTTAAAAGTCAGCATTATTCCTTTTTTTTTAACATTAAGGATGTTTGCTTTGTGATAAGGACTACTGGGCCTAACATGCTGCTTGAAATATTGTACCTCAGATTCCATGTATGAATTGGCTAACCAGGACGTGTAAGCAACAAGAATGGCCCGGCTTCATGCCTCAGTCTATCTGATGTGATAGACTTAAGATCATCTGGGGAGGCCCTGCTCTCGGTCCCGCCTTTGTCACAAGCACGTTTGGTGGGGTCGAGAGACAGGGCCTTCTCAGTGGTGCCCCCTCGGCTATGGAACGCCCTCCCTAGGGAGATCAGATCTGCTCCCTTCCTCTTGACGTTTCGGAGGCAAGTAAAAACGTGGCTATTTGAGCAAGCGTTTACAAATACAGAGTAGCTAATATAGGAAACGGAATGACCTGACAATGGAATTGGATAATGCTTGAGAATAATGAGATTGTAATTTATTTATTTACTGCATTTCTATGCTGCCCCTCTCAGCCCGGAGGCGACTCGAGGCAGCTTACACTGGCACAATTTGATGCCACAACGATAATAAAAAAAAATTAAAAACATTTAACGCACATTATAAAAACTATGCAAAGGCATTAAAAACATATAAACACCAGTAGCTTCCTATTAGCTCATTTTCCAAAGACATTGTCAAGCCGCTCCATATTCATTCTTCCCGAGTTCCATATTCATCCATTACACTGCGTTTCCAAAGGCTTGTTCAAAAAGCAAGGTTTTTATTTTTTTTCGGAATGTCAGTAGGGAGGGGGGGCGATCTAATGTCCCTAGGGAGGGAGTTCCATAGCTGAGGAGCCACCACTGAGAAGGCCCTGTCTCTCGTCCCTGCCAGGCACGTAATCTTTTCCTTTATTGCATTGCTTCTTAAACTGTGGGTCAACAACCCCAAACTGGATCCCCTTAGCATAATGTTGGGGTCATGAAAAATTCAGCAACAATAACAGGCCTCTGAATGCCACCCATTTACACAAATCTGTTAGCAACAACATACAGTATTTACAATGGTCTTTGCAGAAATTGTGGTGCCCAGAAACCAGTATTCCAGGTCAGTACTGACCAATGCAGAATAGAATGGGAGTATTGCTTTTTCTGATAGAAGACACTATCCTCCTATTAATGCAGTCTAGAAATAGCATTGGTTTTTTAGATGCCCTTTTCTTGATCTACATCTTCTGCCGCAGTGACGGCATTGGTTTCCAGGTGGAAGGCGGTCTTGGTCGGGATTGGCTTGACTTACCGTCCTCTTGGCACGTTTCTCTCTTTCGCCCTCCATTCATGCATCTTCAAATTCTACAGCACTGCTGGTCACAGCTGACCTCCAGCTTGAGCGCTCAAGGGCTTCCCAGTTCTCGGAATGTTGGTGGACTCAAAGCCAACCTTAAAAACTCTGGCATACACACTGAGATTACAATATTATTATCAATATTATATGTATATACAATCTATCTATCTATCTATCTATCTATCTATCTATCTATCTATCTATATAAATGCTCTGTGCATAATGAGTACCTTAAAAACAAAAGAACCAATGAGCAAAATCACACCAAATTTGACAACAAAATGTCTCACTACACAAGGAGTGACCATCAATCAAAAAATTATGTTTTTGTCATTTGGGAATTATAGTTGCTGGGATTTATAGCTCACCTACAACAAAAGAGCATTCTGAACTCCACCAACGATGGAATTGAACCAAACTTGGCACACAGAACTCCCATGACCAACAGAAAATACTGGAAGGGTTTGGAGGGCACTGACCTTGAGTTTGGGAGCTGTAGTTCACCTATATCCAGAGAGCACTGTGGACTCAAACAATGATGGATCTGGACCAAATTTGGCATGAATATTCAATATGCCCAAATATAAACACAGATGGGGTTTGGGGGAAATAGACCTTGACATTTGGGAGTTGTACTTTCTGGGATTTATAGTTCACCTACAATCAAGGAGCATTCCAAACCTCACTAACGATGGAAGTGGGCCAAACATCCCACACAAAACCCCCATGACCAACAGGAAATACTGTGTTTCCTGGTGGTCTTTGGGGACCCTTCTGACACCCCCCTGGTGACCCCCCCCCTGGTGTATTGACTTTCCAGGTTGAGAAATGCTGCCTTAAAGCCATCCAGTCCAGCTTCCTTTACCAGGGCAACAAAACAAAGCCCTCCTGACAAAGGGCCATCCAGCCATTCACACAGACGCACATATATGTATATGACAGATGCAGTATCAAAGATTTCAAAGGGACCCCTAAAGAAGGACAATGATATGTTCCATGTTCCAGAGTAGACAAACCAGACAATCTCCACATCAACACTGACAAAGAAACAAGAAATACTGTTTACCCACAAGCATAAAGACATTACGTATATTAGAAACCAACACATTCTCATTACTTCATTTCCAGATCACCAGACTGGGCCACAGCAACGCGTGGCAGGGGACAGCTAGTATATTATATTATTAGAATAGCACTATATTAGTATGATATATTATTGTATTGTACTATACTGCAATATTATGTATGCTTGAATCATCTTCTAATTGCCATCTAAACTCTATAGAGTTGTTTGCCTGTACAGTATAGGTAGAGGGGTAGACATGCACATGGTGGTTAAAGTGGTGCCAAACTGCTTTTATTCTGAAGTGTAGATGCACCCTTCACCTCTACACAGGACATCTTTTAGGATCAGGTGTCCCTTGTGGCTTCTTCTAACTCTGAAAGGACTTGAGAAGATACTTTCTTCCCTCCAAGCTTCAAGGAAAAGGAGGACTTGTGGTTGAACTCTCCCCATCCTTCCCCTTCAAGAGGCTCCCTCTCCTTATGCTCTATGGAGGGATTCAGCCTGGAGATGATGGGCATTCGCTTTCTCGCCAAGTATGACCCTCGCGAGCTTCCGTCGCCGCCTCCCACATCCGGGTCCTTTCTCAGCGTCCCTCCGCTCTCCTCGCTCATTGTCCTGTTCCCCACCGCAGGGTCCCGTCATGTCCACAGTTCTCAAGTCGGTGGATTATGAAATCCTCGGCCGGGTACAAGGTGAGCGGCACGGAGGAAAAGGCCGAAAGAGGCGGGGAGGGCAAAAAGTGGGGAGAAATAGAGACATTATGAGGGGAGAAGGGGCTGGAAAAGGTGACCTCAACGCGCATGCGCGAAGATCCTCTGCCTAGCATGGGGAGATGCCTAGAAGTGGTACTGCGCGTGCGCATTGTATCACATTATAATATTAGTATCAATATTATATGTATGTTTATATATATTATTGTATATTATTATATTGTACTATATCACTATACTGCAATATTATTAGGGGTATTACATGTAATATGAAATATATAATTGCTATATTATTATATATACACCTTAAGAATTATTCCTCTTTTCTAAATATAGTTTTGCAAGGTTATTATTATATTTTTGGTATATTTATATATAGTTATTATTAGCATAGCACAACATTAGTATTGTATATGACTATATTGTATAATACTATATTGTACTATACTACATTAATTATATATTATATATAATATATAATTGCTATATTAATTATTATATATACACCTTAAGAATTATTCCTCTTTTCTAAATATAGTTTTACAAGGTTATTATTATATTTTTGGTATGCTATTTTTGGTATTCGAAGTATATTTATATATAGTTATTATTAGCATAGCACAACATTAGTATTGTATATTACTATATTGTATATTACTATATTGTACTATATCACTATACTGCAATATTATTAGGGGTATTACATGTAATATATAATATATAAATGCTATATTAATTATTATATATACACCTTAAGAATTATTCCTTTTTTCTAAATAAGGTTTTGCAGGGTTATTATTATATGTTTGGTATTTGAACCAGCAATATTTTAACACTGCCTAAAGGAAATTGAATTTTATAGGACCCAAGAACAACTCTTTTAATGGATTTATTGACTGTGATATATATTGATTTTTAACTGTTATAACTGTTTTAATTGCTACCTATATATATTTATATCTGTATTATTGTGTAGGCATCGAATTGTGCCTTTTGTAAGCCGCCCTGAGTCCCCCCTTGGGGGTTGAGAAGGGCGGGGTAGAAGTACACGAAATAAAATAACCTTAATGGGCTTAGGGATTTTTTTTAATGGTGGCGCAGCAGGATAAACCACTGAACTGCTGAACTTGATGAAACAAAAGGTTGGCGGTTGGAATCAGGGAAGTGAGCTCCCACTGATAGCCCCAGCTTCTGCCAACCTTGCAGTTCAAAAACATGCAAATGTGAGTAGACCAACAGTGTGATGCAGCAGCTAAAAAAAAAAAACCAATGGCATTTTGGGCTGCATCAAAAGGTATATAGTGTCTAGATCGAGAGAAGTTATTGTGCCTACTGTTTTGGTTAGACCTCACCTGGAATACTGTGTCCAATTCTGGGCACCACAGTTCAAAAGAGATATTGACAAGGTGGAGGGTGTCCAGAAGAGGGTGACTAAAATGATCAGAGGTCTGGATACCATGCCCTTTGAGGAACATCTTAAAGAGCTGGGTCTGTTTTGCCTGCAGAAGTCAAGATTGAGACATTATAGCCATATACATGTGAAAGGGTGTGGATTTTCATTTTTTTTTGTTATCTTTATTAAACACGTTTTTTTATAATAAAAACATTCTACATAATCAAACTACACCAAACAAAATAAACTACAGTCATAACAAATGCAATCAAAAGAGCGGGGTGGGGGGCAGGACATATTCCATTTTTTAGCTGCATTTGTACTGGTATTGGTTAGATTCAAGGGCAATTTTAAATGTTTCAATGAATGAATGAATAATAAACAAAATAATAATAATGTATTTATTTTATCCCACTTTTCTCCCATGGGTGGTATTCTTATGTTTTCTTAATGTTGCTTCGTTGATTTGAGCCAGTAATATTTATCAGTTTAATTTTTTGTTCTTTTCTAGGTGTATGTTTCAGAATGGTAAGGCAACATGAAGTGCATTGGTTTTGCAGCACTACTGTATCCCATTTTAGAGAATAAAATAATGTCTGTACAGAGATTCAAGGAGTCTGCAGCATGAAATTTTCAATACTTATGACAGTTAAGTGTTATGTGTCTGTAGTGTATGTCTTGAGATCCTTTTCTACAGTGAAGTAGAACCCTGATTTTATGAACCCTAGTTGCTTGTGAGCCTTCTCGCTCAGTCATTTGGAGAACAAACACGAGGTACATATGCATCTATTAAGTATACTCAGATCACATGCATTTATAACTTTGCACCTGTGATATTTCAGCGGTTTATATTCAGCCATGATGGACATGTACAAACAACACATCATTTTTAACAATGACTAAGAAATGTAAGGAAATTGTATTTGCTTTCCAAAGCAAAATAGATATTGTTGAAAGGTTAGGAAAAGGTGAGACAGCAGCAGTGTTGGCAGACGATTTTGCAATCAGGAAACCAACAATTTCACAACTAAAGAAAAACAGAGATGTTCTGTTGCATTTTGCCTCAACATTGGACCGTGGAAATGACAAAATGAAACAAAAACAATGACATTTGCCAAGAATTCAACCTCTGTGATTGGCTCTCCTCTAGGAGACGTCTTGGTCAAACAGTCTTGGACCCACTTCTTTGTGAGAACTATTCACCACCTTAGTGTTCATGAGATGCTATCTCCCAATCAGTCTGCTACTGATTTCAAAACAGAGGCCCCATCTACACTGGCATATAATATAGTTTTAAATTGCATGATATGGTCAGCGTAGACCAATGGTTCCCAACCTATGGTCTGCAAGAATGAAAATATGATCAGTGGCCTCACTATTACTACCGGTACACCGTTGCCTCGAAACCATGCAGCAATAACAGCAGCTGATCTTGTGAAACCCTCTTATAGTGCTGAGGCAATGGGGTTGTCGGGAGGGGAGAGGCTGACTACCCACGAAAGATTACTACTACCACATCAACTCTAGATTATTAAATATGGTTTTCTGTGAGCAAGCAGATGGCAACTACTGGATGGCATATGTTCTGTATCAGAAACTAGAGCTGATGTGGTCTATCCAATGCAATTTTCTGAATGACCATCCCAATTCACCAAACTGAATCTAAAGTTGACCAAAAACTGATTCATAACCCTTTTGGTACTAACGTTGGAGAGTGGACCCTGGTCATGTGGTCCCTGGTCAAGAAAAAAGGTTGGGGATCACTGGTGTAAACTCATATAATGTAGTTCAGTGTAGTTATTTTGCATTGTAGTCTACACTTACCATATCATGCAGCTTCAGACTGCATGATATACCAGTGTAAATGGGGCTTGAGAACATTTACAACACAGGTGTTCCTGGATCATCCCATTCAAAAGCCTTAGTACATTAATACATTAGATGTCACTCTCCAATGGCTGAAGGCTCAAAAATAAGTGATGTGGTACAGCTCTTGTTTCTGGACATTATATGAGATCTGGCTACAAAGAAGATGGTGAATTCTCTCAAGTAAAAAAAATACGTTCTCAACCTTTAGCAACAGTAAAAGCCCAAAGGACTTAACCAGTCAGTTGAAAGAAAAATTCACCCTCGGGGTGAGAAAAGCGGTATACAAATACTGTAAATAAATAAATGTGCTGTATCACTGAAAAATAAATAAACATAACATTTTTCTTTCTGAATATACCATTGCTTCTGTGATTTGTAAAGATCCAGTTTTCTAACCTTTATTTTGCAATATACTTTTTCATCAATTAATTCATAAAATCAGGTTCTACTGTAAATAAAAATAAGAAACTATGTGATTGTGAAAATACCTCCTTGAAAACAATGCAGACCGCTATTATTTAAATTGCTTGTCTTCCGAGCATGGCATATGTGTCTCTAGATGAAGTTGTGTCTGCTGATTTTAGTGATATTTGTGATATAGTAGATAACTGAGAAATAATTTGGAATAGCATTTGAATCCTAGTTTGAGTACCAGAAATTACATAACCTCCTATTTTTGGTAGTTTATGATAGAAACAAGAATTCAGAGATCTATCAGAGATTTAGAAGGTTATCATAAGAGATTGATTTCCCCCTTACTACTAGGCTATATGCAGCTCTGACCTCACCTAGGCTCCTTCAGTACATCACGATGTTCGGTGGGATACATGGGGGAGACTGCTTCTGAGATGGGAGCCAAAAATGGCATGGTGAGCTAAGCTAGGTTCAGTTTGCTCTTTTCAATGGAATCCAAGGAGCCATGTAACTTATTCCTTGTCCTTATTGGAACTTTGGACTTTGTGATTCAGAAGGTTCTATCTTAGCTTAATGAGCCGAGGCATGAATCAGGCTTGTATCTGTACATGTAGCCCTTTCCAGAGCGTAAGCAAGTTTTTTTGAACTGCAAGTTGCAGATTATTCCATGCAGTTATATACCACTTGGCCATGGCATTTGGATGGGAGATTCTTGTAGTTGCCACTCTAAATAAATAATATAAATAAATAATATACTAAGCCCTAGTCCCTTCCTTTCTCTTCCTTAGCATGCTTCCAGCGAACCCAGAATTCTTTAGTTTCCCATTTTATACAAACTGGAAAGCTGTGATTGAGAACAAACCAATATAACAAACTCATTTTAGACTGGTTGAAGGTGCTTCTTGTTCTGAATCTGGTAGCTATAGTTCCCGATTTTGGATCTTTGGGAAACACTGGTTAACTGGAAGCCTTTGTCTTCTCAGTGTATTGGAATAGAACAGAACACAAAAGGGGAAAAACCCAACAAAACATTAATACGTTGACTTACTAAGATGTGATGGTTCCTATGCTGGCTCTGTTTGTTGCAGGGCTTCTTGAACGTTTTCCACTCATCACCCATTTCTGCCTGAGAAATTTTTATGTGACCCCAGGTATATAAGTGTATAAAATAGGTATACAAACCAAATATTTGCTGATCACAAATCCATATTTGCAAGGCTTCCTAAACAGACTGATTTTCCTTTTTGTGTAGTACAGCTGAAGCATTTTCTGCAGTGTCCACTATAAACTGCATGTTGTTGCGAACAGGTTTGTGTAAATGGGCGGCATTCAGAAACCTTTTACTGTTGCCAATTTTTTGTGACCCCCAACATTGAGCCATGGGGACCCCATTTGAGGTTGGGGTCCCACAATTTTAGAAGCAGTGATCTATTGTATAGAACTTTTCATGTTACATGACAAGCTCTTTTTATCATTCACTGTTTCAAAGAGGATCCCAAACTGCTATTTGAAGAAGACCAATATTTTAAAATCCTTTTGGAAATGTAATGCAATGCAAATCCTTCAGGGCCTAAAGTAGCCCTCCCACTCCACCTATATATAGGCAGTCCCTGAGCTTCAAATATCTGACTTACAAACAACTCATAGTTAAGAATGGGCTGAGACAACAGGAAGTGAGAGAAATCTACCCCCCCCCCCCAGGGAAATTCACTCCTGGAAGAGTTATCCTGGGGGAAAGGGGTCTCAACTGAAGCCTTATCACCAATCTTTGTTTCCACAATAAGCCGCATTTTTCAAAATCCAGTTCTCACAGGGAAGAGGTGAAATCTCTGAACAGTCACAGAGAGCAAAACAAAAGCTGCAGATGTGTTAACCCTTTCTTATACTACTCAAAGCTAAATAGTATATATTTTGGCTGGAGTTACACTTAAAAATGTACCTGTGCCCCTTAAAAACAAATTCAACTTAAGAACAAACTTACAGAACAGATCTTGTTCATAACTTGGGGACTGTCTGTATACTTGTATTTTAGAAGCATCATAATGAAAGAAATGTATAAGGAAGAATCCTGACAAGTTTTTACAAATGAGAACCTCACCTTGAGTTGTAAGAACTTCGCTATCACATAACTATAGTATTTGGAACTTGGGATTGTCATCTGGACTCACTTCAGTTAAAATTCGTATTGCTTCCTGGAAGCCTACTTTCAAGAAGTGTGGCAATTTCAAAGTAACTCAAGAGAGAAAAAAAAGGAAGATTGAGTTAAAATCTTACTTGACAAAAGTCTTAAAAGAATAAAACAGTATTATTAAAAGCCCTTGTGGTTAAAAACACATTTAAATTATACCTACTAATCAAATATAAGAAATACATCATACCACTTCACTCAAACTGCTGCTATGTAATTTGAATTTCAGAGCCCTCAATAAAAAAGCCATTACCTGTCAAATGAATGATATCAGTTCAATGGGTTTCCACAGCCTGGAAGCGACCATGGGGAATGCTCTTCCCCATATCCTCACCAAACATGACTGTGAAATTGTTGGGACTGACAGAAAACCATCCCCTGCAGACCCTAAAACTTGAGCAGATTTGTATAGGGAGACCACCTGGACCCAAGCTTTGTTGGATTTATAGATTAAAATCAGCACTTTGAATTCTGCCTGAAAACAGACCAGTAGCCAGAGATCTGTTTCAGCATTTACACATACAATTTGTTGCTATACCAGTTTTATGTATGAGTTGCTTTTGTCCCTGTTTTAAAAGGTGTTAGATATTTATACAGTTTTATTTTTAAAAGAAAAGCATCCTACCTTTATTTGCAATAAATAGCACAGAATACAATAAAAAGTTGGCAGATGCAGGGAAAATATTTTATTCTTTCCCATCCCAATCCACATTGAGGAAGTAGTCATTTCCACTGCCAGGGGCAGAATTGACAGAAAAAACTGGGGTAAATGAATATCTATATGTATTGAATGCAAGTCCATTGGATGTGAGTGAGGCTGAGTTATAAGAAGTATTTGGGCACTGCCTTTGGGGACTGAGTAAATTCTGTGGATCTCTTGTTTTGTTTGTTTTCTAAACCAGTACACAGAGGAGAAGGCTAGGAAAGTGGGAGTGGTTGGCTGGATTAGAAATTCCAGAGAAGGGGCGGTTACTGGCCAAGTTCAGGGTCCTGAAGACAAAGTAAATGAGATGTAAGTACACTATTTCCTCAATATGCACTCTTGGCAAGCTTCACTAATTTGCCAAGCATGGTTCAAATGCTACTGCAAATTAACAAAACAGTGACTTTGGCTGATGGTTTGGTAAGATTATACTGAAGTCCTTAGTAGAGTTGACTTTGTTCAAGGTGTGACTCATGAGTGGTCAAAGAGTGAGCTACAGGCCTCATCTTCTCCCCAGAAGGTTGTATTTGAAGCACCCATAAGAGGTGAGGCCTGATCAGAACACTAGCTGAGAGCATCATAGGTAAGTGCATAAGAACTCTGATAAGAAGACTGGATTTGCAAACTAGACACCAACAATTCCTCATGATTTCATTGCAATGAGGCCCAATGTGTTGATAGGCCCTTAGTATTATATTTTGTGGACCAACCTGAGCTATACAAAGAAGGAGCAGAAAAGGAAGAAGACCAAGCTCATAATGTTGACATTTGATTCCTGTAATTAAGTCATTTTACCCATTCTGGTTGAAGCCCTGTGTATGTGAACAATGTAATAAAAAAACTACTTGCATGTTGTTTGCTTCAAAAATTATTTGCATGCAGACCGAGGAGACAAACCATCATATAAAGAATCAGGAACCATTACTATTTCATATTGTATGCATATATGTGTCTTCAAGTCACCTATTTATTTATGGATGCCCCATGAATTTCATAAGACTTTTTTACACAAGGAATATTCAAAGATGGTTTTGCCAAGTTCCTTAATTCACAGACAGAATCTGGTGACTTAAAAGCTCTGTTTAGCTATTTGTGCTGGGCACTTCCATTTAAAGTTAATCAATTTCAATTGATTAATCAATTTCATCCCTGGCTGCAGCAAGGAAAAATCCAATCACATCTTTATGTTTAAGAGAATATAGATACCAGCAATAATTCCCCTGTAAATTGTAAAATATGGTTGTTACTTATGACAGGAAAGAAACTAAGTATTTGAATGTTTAGTAACCAGGATATGTAGCATTTTCTATTTTAAAAACTGAAATTGGCTAGTTGCCAATATATAAGCAGCCCAAGTACTCTGAAGTTACCATATTCTGTCTTAACTAAGGAGGTAAACAAGGTTAGTATTTGGATGGGGGACTGCCAAGCTATATTTTAAAGGAAGACAAAGTCTTCATTATTCCTTGCCTATAAAAATTATCAAATTTATGAAGCTGCCATAAGTCAACAGGTAACCTGAAGTCACTTTCACGTACCTCAGGAATACATATGGAAATTCCATTGGCACAGATAGAATGAAAACTTTGGATGAATTATTGTCTTGAGTTGTTCATCCCTTCAAGCAGCTCATGAGAACATAACATGGAAATCTTCCTGTTTCATCCTAATAAAAAATCTTTGAGGTACTTTCGGTTCAAAGACAGCCACCAAATCAGTTTCGTGTCTCAGGAGGGATTTTGAACCCAGAACTTTCAAGTCCATGTTGTTTAATTGCCTGAAAACTTTTGGACTCTGCAGTTTTCTGGGTAATTTCTTTTACACTACAAAAAATATGTGGCTTTAAAATAAATGGGAGTGTGAAATAGGCATTAATTTCATTCATTTTTCTGCATGAAGTGCTATAGATTGGCCTTTGTTTGGCTGTTCTTTAACTCATTAATCTTAAATGTTATTGTGTGCTCGAAGAGAGTTGCCAAAGAGCTCATTCCTACTGCACTGTTTATAGCAAGTGTTCACTCAAACCAAACTTGTCAGGTAGTAATGTTGAAAGTTTCCTTGGATTTAAGCCACAGTCAGTGTGTGCTCTCTTGTGTTGTAAAATATTAAAATTCTGCATGAAGATAATCCATCTGATGCATCAAGGTAAGATCAGTTTTTGCAACTTGGATCTACAATGCAATTTGCATTATAATTATTTTTCTTTACTGTTTCTGCAATTTTCACTAAATATAGTTAATTTTGTTTGGGGGGAGAAGGGTGGGGTAGAAATGCATTAAATAAATAAATAAAATTATTTGTGTGGCTAATAGCTCTCACAACCATCCATGATTGCTGGGAGATTCAGAAAGTAGAAATATAAAAACGGGCAACATTTCCAAGCTCTTAGTGGGCAAGGAATTATTCTTGGCACTGAAACTACTATTGATTACTGGAAATTTTATTCAGCTATCCCTTTGGCCTCAGATAGTATATATTGGTCTTTGACTAGTGAGTGACAGAAACTTGCACTGAGTTTAAACTGATATTCTTAACACTGGATTTTGTACCCAGTATTGATTTTGCTTTTTCCACTGGATCCTCAGTATGTGCTTTCTTCATTCTTGAATGTTGGGTGCAAAAAGTAGAGCCAAATTCTTTAATACCAATAGGGGATGGAATCCTGTTCTTGTGGATGTTCTGCATCAGGTTGTACTAAACGATTTTGAAATATCCTGCAACATAACTGAGCTGCAAAATCATATAGCAAAGGAACTGGAAGTGAGATGGAAGTCATTTAATAATCCATATTTTAGCCAGCAATGAAGCACCTGTGTATTTTCCTGAAAATTATTCATTTAAAGGTACACTTGTTAGTGTCACAGGCATGGAGAAACCAAACATTTAGCATAATAACTAATAGCATTTTTACAGAGCTTTCTTAGTATTCGGGGCATTTTGAGTATATTACCATAGTAACCCGTACGGTCAGTATTACTACCTATGTTTAAGCAGAGAGGGCTGACAAATTAAAGGGTCTAATAAAGCAAATCAAACCCGCTCACTCCCTAGAAACTAAAATGACTACAGGGGATATTGTACTTTGAGTGTATCATGAGATGACATGTCTTTTTAGAAAAGATGTTAGATAATGTGGAAGGCAGTTGGCAAATAAGGCGTTCAGACTACAGTTGGATTGACTGAATTTAGGAAGCCTTGAGTTTGCAAGACATCAACAAGGCTGTTAATAAGACAATGTCATGAGGTTCAGTCATAGAGTTGAGGCTGACTTTACAGCAGCTAACAGTTTTGAGTCCCATTATAGGGCTTGCAGCACCAATTATTTTAGAGTGGTATTTACTCCAAAACAGTGCCAGAAGCCACACAGATGTGCAAACATACTAACCCATTAAGCCCTGAACCCCAATCTCCAAATGCATATCTTGAACTCACCCATTTTGGGAAGTACATGGGCAAATATAGGTATTTTGATATGCTCACTTTGGGAGGGGGGATGGCCTCCCTGCAGTTGCTATCCCTGGTCTAAGCTGTGGAATTCAGAACAAAAAACAAACGGTGATTCTAGGAGGCAGAGGCACGTAGAGGCCAAGGTCAAACACCAGCAGATGAGACATAGCAAGGTTTCAGACTACATAGATTAGTTGGCGAGGAAAAGAGCTTGATGGAGATGTGTTCCCAACAGCTGTGCTGGATTGCAAGTGAGGCTTATATTGCTGAGTGATTGAGGCCTCTTCCAGAGCTGAGGTGCATGTTCTTCAGGTTTCCCCTACAAGGAGTTCCTTCTTTTAGTTTACTCCTTCACCTTTGCCCATGTTTTAGCTGTGCATTGCTCTTGTAGACTGAGGACAGGTCCACCTTCTTCAGACCAGAATTGAACCATCATCTGTTTCCCTCTCTGCAGCTTCTAGTCATCCCAATAATCTTGTGTTTTCAGGAGCGGTTAGCTCCATGCACCTTTGTTGGTCTTCACATTTCCCTTCCCTGGAGGACATCTGTTGGGACCATGACTTCAGGCCCCTTGTCAATCCATGACAAAAATGAAATTTGATCCAATCAATACTTCAGCAAGTATGCTACATAACTTCATTTGTTACAGATATGTGCAAATCTGTATTTTGTGTTCATATTTAGAATACATGAGAAATTCATAAACTTTGAAAGTAAGTATAATTGCTTTCTTTCTTGTACCACTCATGATATATGTGAGCGTGTATGTTCTAAAAATATGATCTCAGGAAGCTCCAGACATGGGACTGCAGCTATCATTAGCTTCAGCCAACATAATTAATGGTGTACTGTAAATTCCTAATCGTTGCCCTAAAGCCTGAGAGATTTTCCAGGATATCACTCCCTGTAACAACAAGGCCAGGTGAATACACAGAAAGCTCTTTGTACCAGATTAAATGACTGATGATTTTAGACTGGTGTTGGCTACAGTGATTCGTAGTAGCCCTCTACAGTTTTGTACAGGTGATATTAGGGGCTGAGCCCAGGATTTTTTGCATGTGGAGTGGATGGCCTGCTATTGAAATGGAGTCAGGGACAATCTCTAGTCTCAGCAGTAGGTGCCTATTTCCCAACTGATAGAAGGAGGCACCACTTCTCTTGGGCCATGGGCCAATGGTTGCTGAAGCTGAGACAACAGGAAGTAAAATAAAATCAACCCCTAGGAAAGAAAATTCAATCTTGGAAGAGTTACTGTGGGGGAAAGGTGTTTCTGCTGAAGCTTCATCACCAAGCCTTTTCACAACTGTGGAACCATGCTGAAAGAGGACCTGCTTATCAGGGACAATTCCCAAACTAGCCGCATTTACTAGGATGCACGGCAATATTTTGTTGCAGGCAAGATCCTTTTGCAGATCTAAAGCAAAGAACTAGAACTTGAGGCGTGGCCATTTGCCAAGAGAGCACCCTGTGGCTCTGAATCATAGAATAGGGTGGAGCTGTGTTAGTCTATTGTTGGCAAGAAGGAAACAGCCCTAAGCAATGTGGGGGAAACAGAATACAATACATCAAAGAAGCTCTAATTTTTGTTCTGTGAGGCTGATTAGCAGCAATTATGTTGGTAGAAAAGCTATGTTTCTGCCAAGAATGCAGATCATTTTGTATAAAATAATTTAGTCTTTAATTTATTTGCTGTTCTTCTCTCAGAGGAAGGATTTTTGTCAGGAATACACAAATGCAATCAAGAAATCTAACGTGGTAAGCCGGCTGGGTCTTATTGATTTACTTGATTCATATCCTGCCTTTCTCCCCGACTGGGATTTATGAGATTAAAATTCTGGAGTCTTCAGAAAAAGTCTAGAAAT